TATATATATATATATATATATATATATATATATATATATATATATATATATATATATATATATATATATATATATATATATATGTTACAATGAGGTTTACCCTGTATAATACCGGGGGGGATGGGGCACACGCGGTAGAAGCTTACAGAGTAAGAGTCATTTTTGATGCGAATAGGTGAAGATAACGGTTAACCCTAAATTTAAACAGGTTAAGAATGTCGTGATCGGCAGGGAAACATCACCTTGAGAGTCGGTTCTACAGAGAAATGGCTCGCGGGATGAAGCTGTCCGATTGAAACTTACTTCTCACCATTGGAATACAGAGAAAATGAAGGTGGTTTACTAAAAAACCCGAGTGCCATATGACAGTCACTTTCTCACCGACGTGACTTGGCTTTCCTTTGACTTTGACTACAAATATTTTCATGGCAACTGCTCGAATGAGCTTTCGTCCCTGCTACCTTGTCTACGAGGATCTAGGTGACACTGTGTTGCTGATGAACTAGCTAAATGCAACCGCCACGTCTTCTATAACTGTTAGTTTTCTCGCACTTCCCACCTGTGGAACTGCCTTCGGATTTCTTGCTTCCCTGGTGAATAGAATCTTTAAAAATTTAAATGTAACGTCAATCATCATCCTCTGTTTACTTGAACCCTGTTCCATTTTTGTCGTTTCCTCAATCCTCCCCATTCTCAGTCTTGCCATTCTCTTTCACTTACACTCCCTGTAATCACCTGCGTCTTAGTGGCATTATCGCCTTGCTTAGGGTGAAATGATTTTTTTAAAAAATACATGAGTAAAGCGTGGAACTATGTCAAAGAATGAAGCCGTGTAGTGTCTCTGGTATATGTTTTGTTTTTCTACGCAATCAAAAACGGAATAGTACATTATGAGGTATTGGCAGGAGACGTTAAACGCTTTTATCTTCATACATTTCTGATTTCCTTCCTTCCTTTCATGTTTTCATGTTTTCACTGAAACCAAGTAGTGTCTTTCTCCCTGTCCACGCAATAAAAACGGAATAGTCCATTATTTATGAAGTAAAGACGTTAAACGTTTCTATCTTCACATTTTATCTTCCCTTCCTTTCCTTCCTTCCTCCCTTCCCTTCCTTCCTTCCTTCCTTCCTTCCTTCCTTCCTTCCTTCCTCCCTTCCCTTCCCTTCCCTTCCTTCCTTCCTTCCTTCCTTCCTTCCTTCCTTCCTTCCTTCCTTCCTTCCTTCCTTCCTTCCTTCCTTCCTTCCTTCCTTCCTTCCTTTCCCTTCCTTCCTCCTCCCTCCTTCCTTCCTTCCTTCCTTCCTTCCTTCCTTCCTTCCTTCCTTCCTTCCTTCCTTCCTTCCCTTCCTCCCTTCCTCCCCCTTCCTTCCTTCCTTCCTTCCTTCCTTCCTTCCTTCCTTCCTTCCTTCCCTTCCTTCCTTCCTTCCCTTCCTTCCTTCCTTCCTTCCTTCCTTCCTTCCCTTCCCCCTTCCCACCCCCTTCCTTCCTTCCTTCCCTTTCCCTTCCTCCCTTCCTTCCTTCCTTCCTCCTTCCTTCCCTCCTTCCCTTCCCCTTCCTTCCTTCCTTCCTTCCTCCTTCCTTCCTTCCCTTCCTTCCTTCCTTCCTTCCTTCCTTCCTTCCTTCCTTCCTTCCTTCCTTCCTTCCTTCCTTCCTTCCTTCCTTCCTTCCTTCCTTCCTTCCTCCCTCCTCCCTCCTTCCTTCCTTCCTTCCTTTCCTCCTCCCTCCCTCCCTTCCTCCTCCTTCCTTCCTTCCTTCCTTCCTTCCTTCCTTCCTTCCTTCCTTCCTTCCTTTTACCAAGTCGTGTCTTTTCCCTTTTCGACGCAATCAAAACCAAACAGTCCATTCTTTATGAAGTATTGGCAGGAAACGTTAAACGCTTCTAATTTCCCATTTTCTTTCTTTCTTCCTTTCTTTTTGTCATGTTCTCACTGAAACCAAGTAGTGTCTTTCACCCTTTCCAAACAATCAAAACGGAATAGACAATTATCTATGAGGTATTGGCAGCGCGTAATGATCGTGCGAACTAAAGAACTAACAAAGAAAGGGATAGGCACAATTACGATATGATACTAGTGTAGTTGTGCCGTCAAAAAGAACGGTAATTGTTAGAAAGTTTTCATCGTCAGATGCAATCAAAACAAGACTTGAAACAATGAACTGAGATTCAATAAAGCGAAAATCCAGAATTCTTAACTCAAAATAAAGGCCGATGAACCGTTTAATTAAACCGTCCGCTTTATATATTTTAGACGTTCAAAGGATATCTATAATTCATTGATTACTCCCGGCATTATATAAATTTCTTTTTGGTCAGTATCTTTTCATCTTAAACATTTTATGTGTTTGATATCACAGCGAAATGGAAATAACTCTTAGAAGAAAAAGTTTAGCAACAGAACGACAAAGACGGCGACACCGAAGACTATTTCGAGACCAAGTTTGATTCAAGATGACCACTCAACAGACAAAGGTATTTCAGTACTACGCTTGAAGGGATTGAGCTTATGGCCACATCACTTTGAAACAACGGTTCTCGTACGATCACCGAAGTTAAACAATATCGATCTGGTCAATACCTAGATGGTTGACCACTTGGGAATGTCAGGAGTTGTAAGTTTGGTTGTGAGGGTGGTGTAATGTATAACAGCTCGGAATTGTTAACCGGAAAGCCCGGTTTCAATCCTGTTGGATTCGTTAAAAACACATGCGCAAATATCCTTGGGAAAGATATGAATCCACCTCGTCTCCCCAACTATAGGTTAATTAGTAAGACTTGTATCAATAAACCATTGTTATCTAAAAAAATCTTACAATCTAAAAATATTATTCCTGGCTTTAAATAACTTGCAAAGGTTGATAAACCGTATTTCTTTCCAGTGAATTAATCCCTTTAATGTTACTTGTCTTCCCCACTGAAGAGTGTGACTTTTCTGTTGCAATACCCGACCTATAGATTGAACTCTGGACCACCAGAGACATATCGCCTATTGGATAAAAGCGTTGATATAAATAGATCTAGATACTTGGCGCTGGCTCAACCAGAAGCTCATTTGGAGTTACAAGTTAGGCTCAGTTCCGGCAGGCAGTACCGATCTCGATTTTATTAAAAGAGGGAGTGATAGTGTTAATTGCCGTCGTGTGAAGAAAAATATCAAGGGAGCGGAGCATTTTCTCTCCCTGGTCCGCTGTACGCGTGGGATAATTACTTTAAACTCGGCCTTGAGCCATATTCCGTTCGAGTGAAAGAGCAAAGAAATACCTCTACAGACTTGTGGTTGGTTAAAATCTACCGGATGTGCAGACTGTATAATAGATAGCAGCTCAGAATGAGAAACCAGGGAGAAGAGTTCGAATTCCAGTCGAGTTCGTTACATTAGGTTAAACAGCAGAGTAAACTGGACTCTCTAGACGCGATTGGAAAACACACCAGGAGGACAACTCTGAATTTAAAAAAAAAATAGCTACCTGAAGCAGCCGCGGTTGGAGACCAGTCTAAGTGGAGGAAAACTCTGAATACAAACCGATCAGAAGCTGTGCAAAGATGATTATATATCGTGTATCAGATATTATGCCTATAAATAATAAACACGATAGATTTCAGCAGCTTTGGATAATTAGACATTGATAATCCCTTGATTTTCCAGAATGTTGTTAATACGAACAGGCCCAGGGTAAAAGTAGGAGTCATTAAATCATAAAGGGTTCCTTAGCAGTTGCGAGATCAATCCTTGGCTCTGGTAGTGCTGAAAAGTCATGTACTCAATGTTCAGTGCAAGAAACAGGCAAGTGACTCAAATTTGAATAATGCTGGTGAGTATTAACTGATATGAAATATCACCTAAGCATAGTCCCCTGGCAGTTGTGAGATCAATCCCTGGCTCTGGTAGTGCTGAAAAGTCATGTACTGTAGTTCAGTGGAAGAAACAAATGACATATTCTCTAAGCATGGAAAGTGAAATGAGAAAATTGTCCCAATGTGTTCAGTTCGAAATTCTAAGGAGGTTACCAAGCTCAATTACAGTTATCTGAAGAAGGCCGATGGGTACAACGGCCGAAACAGTGACTATAACAACCAAGATAAGGATACTAGACAGGATAAAAGATACTAATGTGAATAATGATAATAGTTCATCTCAAGAATGCAGTTGGTAATTTTCTCTTAATTTTTCTTCTTTCGTTCTTTTTTGTCTCTCTCTCTTTTTCTATTTCTTTTTCTCTCTCTGTTTTATTGACGATAAGTTTTACCGTATTTCAGCAGTATTTTTTAATATGATCCCCCTCTTCGTCTCTGCTAATTCAAATTGTGAAAGAGGAGAAAGAGAAGGTGGGACTTGGAGAGAAGATGCGATGAGGGAAAAAAAAAAACGCAAAAGAAAGTCTATCTGACACTCGTTGACAGCTTGACTGACATAAAAAAATATTCAGAACATCTGAACACCAAGGGAGGGTCCAGCAAACACCAAAATTCAAAACTCCACTTCACTGAACAGAAAACATAATCATTTTTTTTTTCTTTCCTCTTTCATCTCATGACATAGCTTCCGTTATCAAACACTAAAGTCAGGTCAGGCAGTCAGTCATGCGATATTTCTTGGTGCACGAAATATATATATATATATATATATATATATATATATATATATATATATATATATATATATTCTTGGCCTGATGAAGTCTTGTACAAATATATAGATTGATGTCTTACAAATACGTGGGTATATTTGGTGACGTTATACAATAGGCATTACAAATAAAAAAAATCATTTTTTATATATCAATATAGATTAAAGCACTCTAGATATCGAAAGTTTTTTTTGGGGGGAAATTGTTAAATTTTATGAAAGTTAATAATTCAATCCAGCTTGCTATGTAAAATCATTGCAAATTGGTCCCCTACGGAAGCCAAAACAAACATGTCCATTGGACGTGATTCCTTAAAATGTAAAAAAAAGAAGTTTTAAAAAATATTGAGATTCGTAAATAGTTCTTTTATTCATACATTACTATCAATTAAGCATTCTAGATTCTTCTTCTTTGTGTGCTGTGTCCCTTTAGGGCGTAGGCGATCATGTTTCTCCACAATTTCCCGTCCTTCGTAGATTTATAAATACAAATTAATTAACTTATAGCTATGTAAATAAAAAAATAAAGATGATTTAATTACGTATACATTAATGTAATTATTTGAGTGGACACTTCGTATTTGAAATAGACGCCCTATTTATTTTATTTATAAAACAGTGTATATTATGCCTAAACGCCGACTCATTCAAGAAACTTTAATAAAGAAAAATGTGTTCCCCTTCTTATAATTTTTCAAATTTGCAAGCCTATATGCGCACTGTTTTATATTTTTTAATCTGTTTTTTTTTTTTTTTTGTTTCGATCGATTTTGGTTTTCGATTTTTAAGTAACGTAGTAAAAATTTGTTTTCGTGTCTGTATTTTGAGTTGAGTTCTGATCATTTATTTATTAGTTTGTGTTGGTCTGGTAAGGTAATTATAGCTAATTTCTCCTCCAGACAGAGTTTACAGTTTTGGGATTTATTGTTGTAGACTGATGCTGTTTTCCTTATTTTTTTTACGACATTTTTGATGTGATTTGATTTTTGCTTTTAATTTTCCATATATGTCTAGATAGTATTGTGCGGTTCGCGTATTTACTATTTGTAAAAGAAAAGAAAATAATCTAATTCAATAAATAAGTAAACAAATTAAGTAAAGGATAAGCAAATTAAGTAAATAATAAACAAATTTACAAACTACGAATGAACGCATAAACGTAATAATAGCAACCAACAGTAAATAATAAATTAATCAATAATAAACAACGAGTTAAAAAAAACAACACTATAAAATAAACACAAAATTCGGATCCACAATTTTTTCTACTTATTAGCCCTTAGACCAAGGACGGGCAACCATTAGCACGCGTGCTAATCATGGCACGCCAATGACGTGTTTCTGGTTCACAAAACTGATTCATTAGATTCTCTTTTTGACTTACTTTTATTCTTTCTCCTCTTTCGTGTATATCATTATCTCATGTATGAAGAGAACATTAGAGAACTGAAAAAATAATAGACTGAAAATTTTGGCATTATTAAGCCTTTGAGTCCTGACCACAGCTTTACCGGTGGTAGAGAAAAATGACTTAAAGCTCAGCCATCGGTGGGTAAAAACTTTGTGTTGTGTTTTGCTATTCTTGTACATCAAGTGAAGAAGCACCTGCTTGGTAGACTGGCGATAAAGTGAAGGCATGAAATCATATTCTCTCCCTGTTAAGTATAATGCTTATATTATTTGTAACTATTTTTATATCTACTGTGAGACATTACGTACCAATTATTTACGAATTTTGACTCAGGAGCTCAGGCAAAAAGGCTAAAATTGTCCAGGAACACAGTTTTAAGAAAGGCAATAAGTCTTATGCATTTACTGTTTCGAAACAATCGTTTGTAGGACTTCTTCTGTAAAGAGACATTTTGAAAGTCTTCATAAGAATTTAAGCAATAAAACTGAGGAGGAACAAAGAGAATTAATTTCCCTGTAAACTGAGCGGTATTTAGTCACCACCTACGAGGGTATCATGTGGCACAAGGCCGGTTTAACGTGGGATCTCCGAGCCCGTGGGCTCGGCCAAATATGCCCTTTGAACCCGTATAAACGGGTTCAGGTTTGGTTTACCTCCCCGAAAGAGACTCCGCCCTTCGGCGTAGCCTCGTTCGAGTTCCTCCCTGCCCGAAGGCAGAGAGTTCAACCGATCAGCCGGTCGCCCGACTTCGGACTGAACTCATCCCTGTAAACTGGGCAAATAAAAAAAAACAAAAAACAGGCTGATACTTTTATGAACTTTATTTCAGGTATCCACAGTTTCAACTTAGTTGTTGCTAGTTTTGAGGTTTCAAAAGTTATTGCCTAACATGAAAAGTCACTCAGTCATTGGGAGTATATCAACGAAGCTTGGACAGAATATGCGTCTTTCTTTTTTGATAGTTTTACAGAAAAGGAAAAGATTATTCAGCGCATTAAAGATTTGTCTGTGAGTAGGAAAACAGTTAAGGATAGGATACTTCATTTTTAAAGGAAGCCAGCGGAACAAGTAACAAAAGATTTATCTCTATGTAAATTTTTTTCTAGTTGTGTTGATGAAAGTACGGACATTACATCATCAGCTATATTTTCTCGATTTTGTTGGGGGTGATGAAGTAAGTGAAGAGATGGTTGTACTTGTAACACTACCTGAGCACTACCGGGGCTGAAATATGTAGAACAGTTATGAACGAAATTATCTACTCGACAAATTCACATTTCAAAAGTAGTATCTGCTAAAACAGATGGTGCTTCCAGCATGACTGGTGAGAAGGCAGGATTTGTCAATCTGTTTGCAAAAGATGTTTATCATCCGCAGATAGGTTTTTCATTGCATCATACATGAGGAGGCTTTGCGTGCAAAAGTTGGACTAAAGGAAATTCAATAAGTGATGCAAACAGTTACCAAGGTTCTTAATTACATTTCTCCTCGAACTTTAGTTAAAAGACAATTTCAATTTTTACCGAATGAGATAGAATCTATATATAAGCGACTGAAAATGTACAAAAATGCCAATGT